GAAAGAAAGAAAGAAAGAAAGAAAGAAAGAAAGAAAGAAAGAAAGAAAGAAAGAAAGAAAGAAAGAAAGAAAGAAAGAAAGAAAGAAAGAAAGAAAGAAAGAAAGAAAGAAAGAAAGAAAGAAAGAAAGAAAGAAAGAAAGAAAGAAAGAAAGAAAGAAAGAAAGAAAGAAAGAAAGAAAGAAAGAAAGAAAGAAAGAAGAGTACACCTGTCAAAGATATCATTAGCCCTATAACATACTCGTTCGAGAGAGGCCCAGATATTGTCACAGATTTCTGGGGAATACATGACAGGGGCAGATAATGCGACAGCTCCATGTCAGGGGAGATAATATGTCGAAAATTCATCTGAATGGGCAAATGCTCCATGTGTTTCTTTAAATGAATTTCTTAACAGCGTTCTGCAGGGCTGACACAGTTGGCGCGCTTTCGTGTTGTTGGCATTTACATGCTTATCTGTCTGTCTGTTATCTGTCTATCTGCTTGTCAGGATGTCCGAATGTTGGTCTATGGGCCTGCCTGCCTGTCTGTCAGTCCGTCAATTACAGATTGCTAAGTATTATATGGAAGGTTATCCGTGAAAATTGTAGGTGTCTCGCAGGGCAGATAGATTGATCTCTTTTCTCGAAGTCTTCCTCTACCCATTTTCTCCTCATGTCTCTTACGCTGACTTTCCTTGTCTCTCATGATAACTTTCTCTCTCTCTCTCTCTCTCTCTCGCTCTCTGTCTGTCTGCCTCTCTCTCTCTCTCTCTCTCTCTCTATATATATATATATATATATATATATATATATATATATATATATGTGTGTGTGTGTATATATATATATATATATATATATATATATATATATATATATATATATATATATAGAGAGAGAGAGAGAGAGAGAGAGAGAGAAAGGTAGGGGAGAAAGAGTAGATGTAATAAAAAAATGAAACATTATAGGATTAGTTGTTGAGGATTATGTGAAACTGGATAGAATGGTACAAATAGTTTAAATTCAGATGACACTATTTCCCATTTAGATCATGCAGAGGAAACTGACACACATTGAAAACACCCGAGAACAATATAAATAGAAGAACTTCACACTGGAAACTACAGGGGCATAGAAATAAAGGTAGTCCAACACACACACACACACACATATACACACACAAGTAGAGGAAACAAGAGAATTCAGTTAAACAAACAGGGAGGACAAGGGAGTCAGCTGCACACCTGGAAAAGGATAGAATGACTTGGCGTGAGTTGGTTGAGGGCCTTTGCCCCATTGGGGGATAAAGGACAGAAGAAGAAGAAAAAGAAAATCATAGCACAAAGATTTTTTAACTTTTATTCATTTATTTACGCAGTACATAACTTGGGTAACGTTTTTCTTTCAGCCCTCCTTACTGTGAGGCTTTACTGGATGAGGGACTGGTTCTCTTCCCCTCTGGTTGTCCCAGCCATAATACCTAACACCTGTAGATTCCCTAAGCATCTTATATTTTTGCTGACCTACTTAAGTGTGGATAGTTTTCGTGTTAACTTCATCATCAAGTAGTTTGCTAGTGTATTCCTTTATTATCGCCACCATCATCATTGTCAACATCATCATCATTATCGTTGCCGCCATCATTGTTGTCATTTTATCATAAACAAGTTACCGTTGTGATAATTAAATAATTGTACATACCTAAAGCACTGGGTGGCCTTGAGATTCCGGAAGGTGTTTCCTTGCAAGGTTACCGTGTCTTTCCAACGTTGCTGGGCCGAAGATTGCATGTCTGTCTCTGCATGAAGACACTTTATCTTACTCCAGTGAAATCCTGGAGAAATGTCTGTCCCTGGAGAATGATGTCCTAGAGAAATATCTTTCCCTGAACAATGATATCCTGGAGAAATGTCTGTCTCTGGAGAATGTTATCCTAGAGAAATGTGTCACCCTGGACAGAGATATCCTGGAGAAATGAGTGGCCCTGGACAAAGATATCCTGGAGAAATATGTGGTCCGGACAATAATATCCTGGAAAAATGTGTGGCCCTAGACAAAGATATCCTTTGGGAATTGCCTATCTCTGGGCAGTGAAGTTCAAAACGTCAGTATTTTATCCTTGGACAAAGATATCCTGAAAAAATGTGTGGCCCGACAGAAATATCCTGGAAGGAATACCTGTCTCTGGGCAGTGAAGTTCAAAACGTCAGTATTTTATCCTTGGACAAAGATATCCTGAACAAATGTGTGGCCCGACAGAAATATCCTGGAAGGAATACCTGTCTCTGGGCAGTGAAGTTCAAAACGTCAGTATTTTATCCTTGGACAACAGACAGTGAAGGGTAGATCTCAGTACTCGCTCTGGTGACCGCGTAATAATAACAGACATCACGGAAACCTATAGAGAAACTTCCTTGTCTAAAGGTTTATCTGCTTGCAGGTTTGTGTGCTAACATATATCACCCAGGTCATGCAGTCGGCTCTAGCAGTATGTTGGCTGTAAGCATCTTTATACCTCGGTCTCGGCACATGACAACCACAACAACATCTTCTAGAACCGTTTAAGAGGTTGATAATATAATGTGTTCAATTTGTGTATCGGCTGATAAGTCCATGATCATTCAGTGAAGACAGACGAATTTAAGAGGATATCGCCCTGTGAGATGCCTGCAACCTTTTCCGTGATGCTGCTCACTAAGTGAACAACTCACCTTCAGTATATCCATCACAGCCACAGGACATTTTTGCCAGGTGCCATTTCCTTTCCAGGATGCCAAAACCAAACCAAACGGAAACTAATATATAGAAATATGCTGTACAGCAAGTCTGTTTATTTGACAGAAAAATGATATATTGATCGAAACCATGCGCAGGCAAATTAAGTGATGCCAACAGTGTGTCCGCTGTCCTGGTTGGCCGGATTATCTGGCTGAGTCAAGGAGAGATAACGCGATTCCAGGTAAAGTCGCCGTCTGCTCGTCTTCTAGACAGGGGACTTACAGCGACAGGTCTAGAGTTTCCGAGTAGACATCTTAGCAGGAATCCTCTTACAGCCCGCCACTGATGATGATAAATGTTTCCTCCAGTCGTTTGCTGATCCATCTTGTCTGCCAGTCATGGACGTCACAGACACAAAGCCATCTTGTGTCTGTCGGTTACGGGGAGGCGGTTGGTCAGCTGCTACCGCTCTCCACATGACTTGTATCAGCCCTGACCGCCATTTGTGACTTTCTCACATATGGCTGTCTGTCTGTCTGTCTGTCAGGTCTGTCTGTCTATCTGTCTGTCTGTCCGTCTGACTATCTATCTGTGTGTCTAATTTATCCGCCCGTGTGTCTGATCTGTTTATGCTATCTTCTTCTTTTTCTTCATCATCATTATCATCATCATCATCTTCTTCTTCTTCTTCCTCTTTTTCTTCTTCTTCTTCTTCCTCTTCTTCTTCCTCCTCCTCCTCTTCTTCTTCTTCTTCCTCTTCTTCTCTTCTTCTGCTTCTTCTTCTTCTTCTTTTTCTTCTTCTTCTTCTTCTTAATCTTTTCTTCTTCTTTTTTCTTCTTCTTTTCTTCTTCATCTTTTCTTCTTATTTTTCTTCTTCATCTTTTCTTTTTCTTCTTCTTCTTCTTATTTTTCTCTTCTTCTTCTTCTCTTCTTCTGCTTCTTCTTCTTTTCTTCTTCTTTTTCTTCTTCTTCTTCTTTTTCTTCTTCATCTTTTCTTTTTCTTCTTCTTCTCTTCCACTTTGTACCTCATCGAAGTGTCGAGGGAGATGTAATTTTCGTTGATAAGCTCTGTCAAGAGCACTATTAAGACTGATGCTAATTTCTGTAAGGCTGTTCTTAATGCCATCACTCCATATTTTCCGAGGTCTTCCGCTAGCTCTATACCCGTTGTAACGTTTCTGTGTGGCTCGCTGTGGCAGATAGTACCAGAGCATTCTTGTTAGGTGTCCAAACCACTTCATTTGTTGTTCTTTGATAACTTGTAAGACTGGCTTTATTCCTAGCATTCGCCTTATTTCGTATTCTGCCTTTCCTTGAAACTCATGCAGTTCTTCTAAAGCATTTCATCTCTGTTGTCACAATTTTACGTTCATTTGAGGATGTAAGTTCTATGCTATCAATCTATTATAATAGTATCATAATTAGATAAGTTCTGCTATAAGTACATATGAGTGTATGTGTAATATATATGTATGCGTGTGTATGTATGAGTTTGTGTATGTGTATATGCACATGAATGGGTATGTGTGAGTATGTTATATGTAAAGCCTATCATACGTCATGTTGCATGCACAGGAGTGAAAACGATTGTGCACAGTGCTGCCCAATGCGCTATGAAGAATTATTTTGAAATGAGTTTCTCTTTATGACAGCCACCACCTCCTCTTGTGCGTCTGTTTTGATTACCTTTTGCCTTTATTTTGTCCAAAAGGCTCATGGTAAAGTGAGACACCACGACCGGACCGACCAAGAACAACAAAGGTCTGTGTTATGAAAGTTGCGCACCACAAATTACACACCCCGTCGTCCACGACAGTGCGGCGGCGACAGGAAGCACCACGAGGCAGCTGTGTAGTTTGAACGCGGAACTCCCGGGAAAACCGGTCCACGCTGTTGTTTGTACCTGTGAGATCTGTGTAGGTACCTACCTGTACGTCTCCGACTTGTGAAGCCTGTCTGCACGTTGTGTAGGCGACCTGTTCATATTCATCCTGTCGACTAGCTCAAGGCTTTCCAGCATAGACGACCAAACAACCAGGTTATGTCTGCAGTAAGTGCAGGGGGGTAAGGTATCTGGTCTAGAATCATCGAAGCGTGAGATCCGAACCTCCCCGCCACAAAAGCTGTCAGTTTTATAATAAGCAACGGCCCATATCGCGTTAACCTGCAGTAGGCAATAGATTTATTCATCTCGCTTAAGGTGACAATGAACACGTATTTGGACTGAAACATTCGCCAGGTTCGTATAGTTGTCGCTGGCAGATTTAAGTGAGTCGACACTTTAAACTATCACATTTGGAGTAATGGCATCGGTGTCCCTCATGTCGAAGCACAAGAAAATAGCTTCGGCGCCTAGAACCTACGATGCGGATGGGTTTAAGAGACGAGCGGCTTGCATTTGTTTCAGAGATCGGAGAGAACAAGAGGTATATTTTCCCAGTTTAAGTGTTCTGCATTCGTTATATGTTTTCCTTAAGTTGAGACTTAACTAAGAACTAGACTGTGTTAAAGAGATAGGTACTGACTGTATCTCATTCACTTTTATTAGTGACGAAGATATTAAGCATTTCAGTGTAACACTCTTTTCTTCATCATATGTAACGTTGCTAAATTGTCAGTTGTCATTATAAATGTCACCTGTCAGCATGGTCACTTGTAAACATTGTCAACTAATCAGTTAACTGTCACTTGTCAACATTATCACCTGTTAACATTGTCACTTATCATTTTAACTGTCATTTGTCAACATCACCTGTGAATAATACCACCTGTCAACATTGTCACCTGTCAGTAATACCAACTGTCAACATTATCACCTGTCAGTAATACCAACTGTCAACATTATCACCTGTCAGTAATACCAACTGTCAACATTATCACCTGTCAGTAATACCAACTGTCAACATTATCACCTGTCAGTAATACCAACTGTCAACATTGTCACCTGTCAGTAATACCAACTTCAACATGATCACATGTCAGTAATACCAACTGTCAACATTATCACCTGTCAGTAATACCGTCAACATTATCACCTGTCAGTAATACCAACTGTCAACATTATCACCTGTCAGTAATACCGTCAACATTATCACCTGTCAGTAATACCAGCTGTCAACATTATCACCTGTCAGTAATACCAACTGTCAACATTATCACCTGTCAACATTGTCACTTATCAGTTTAACCGTCATTTGTCAACATTATCACCTGTCAGTAATACCAACTGTCAACATTATCACCTGTCAACATTGTCACTTATCAGTGTAACTGTCATTTGTCAACATTATCACCTGTCAGTAATACCACCTGTCAACATTGTCACCTGTCAGTAATACCAACTGTCAACATTATCACCTGTCAGTAATACCAACTGTCAACATTATCACCTGTCAGTAATACCAACTGTCAACATTATCACCTGTCAGTAATACCAACTGTCAACATTATCACCTGTCAGTAATACCAACTGTCAACATTGTCACCTGTCAGTAATACCAACTTCAACATGATCACATGTCAGTAATACCAACTGTCAACATTATCACCTGTCAGTAATACCGTCAACATTATCACCTGTCAGTAATACCAACTGTCAACATTATCACCTGTCAGTAATACCGTCAACATTATCACCTGTCAGTAATACCAGCTGTCAACATTATCACCTGTCAGTAATACCAACTGTCAACATTATCACCTGTCAACATTGTCACTTATCAGTTTAACCGTCATTTGTCAACATTATCACCTGTCAGTAATACCAACTGTCAACATTATCACCTGTCAACATTGTCACTTATCAGTGTAACTGTCATTTGTCAACATTATCACCTGTCAGTAATACCACCTGTCAACATTGTCACCTGTCAGTAATACCAACTGTCAACATTATCACCTGTCAACTTTGTCACTTATCAGTTTAACTGTCATTTGTCAACATTATCACCTGTCAGTAATACCACCTGTCAACATTGTCACCTGTCAGTAATACCAACTGTCAACATTGTCACCTGTCAGTAATACCAACTGTCAACATTATCACCTGTCAACTTTGTCACTTATCAGTTTAACTGTCATTTGTCTCTTTGTGAGAGGGTGTACTGTGATTGTTTGTATTTACACATATAGCTATGTTTTCATGTGTGCATTTGTGTTGTTTTTAATCTGCTAGCCTGATGCCCACTGACACAAGTACCACAACATGCAGACATGTTTTGCATGCATAAACAAAAAATCTGCTGGAGTGGTACACACTGGCACAAATAACTATGTGCATGCATTTATTTTTTAAGGTAGCTGCCATGGTGTAGCAACTAGACGCTCGGCTACATATTGGAAGGTCACAAGTTTGGATTCTGTTGGAGCCAAATTTAAAAAAAAAAAACTTCGCGCCTAGGTTTACCCAGCTTTGAGTGTTTACCACATTCAGTCCTGGGAAGTAAAGGCATCCAGCGTGATGCTGACCATATCACCCACTGATTATCGATTGGTCTATATAAAATAAGTCTAGCCCAATACACCCCGAAGACGTGAAAAATGGTCCTCTGCTTTTCTTTACTTTAAATTATTTCTTAATCTGCTGAAATGGTGCACCCTGGTACAGGTACCCCAATGTGCACGCATGCATTTTTTGTTGGTGTGCATTTATAATTATTTTTTAATCAGCTGGGGTGGTGCCCTGGTGCCCCCTGGCACAGGTACACAGTGATTATTCCCTATCGTGGCATCAGTTGTATATGCTGGGCACCCTAGTGTCAAGAGGGATACAAGCTCAGTGCTCTGGTACAGTACAGTCTAAATGCAACAGTGCTAGGTGTTGTTCGTCTATCACCAGTGATGACTGCCACTTTCATCCAAAGTAGTAATCATCAGTGACTGCCAGTACGAAGATGGCTGATTGGTCCAATATGAGCCAGGAAAGTTTTTGAGCAGTGCGGCCACAGATGGAAGCCGCTATAGGTGTGGGATTAGCAGTACGGTTCTTTCTAGTCTGCCTCCGTTTCTCTGCCTGTGCAACCTCCGCTGCCTGGCAGACCGATGCACCATGTCTGAGGGACGTACACCATCCAGAATAGTCATGTGCAGCAGCCTGCCACGTTGCTGCATTAATGCCAAAAGAATTGAGAGCAGTCTTCATCGTGTCCTTACAGTGCTTTTTCTGTCCTCCCTGGCACCTCTTCCCTTGTTGGATCTCACCATAAAATACTCTCTTTGGGTGGGGATAGTCTGGCATGCGGGTTAGGTGACCAGCCCAACACAGCTGTGATAATAATGAGAATAGCTTGATGAAAGTGACTTACACAGGACTTGGATTTAAGTGAGGAACAGTTGCACATTTCTCGCCTGTGTCCATCTTGATCCAATGGCAGGACAAGGTCAAGACAATTAGAAATGGACCTAGGTGCAGTGGATGACCAAGGCTTCTTAAGTGTCCTGCCTTGCTCGAAGCTCTCCACAGAGCCTGCTGGTAAATGCCTTCTTGTCCATTGAACCAATAAGAGGGTTCATCCGCACAATCCGCCGTGTGAGCCTCAACAATTTGAAAAGTCTTCCCTCAAAATCTTTAAGCATGCTTTCTATTTTTCTGTCTTGTTTTTCAAGTTTCTGCTCCATAGAGGAGAACTGTCCTACGCATGTTTTTTTTAACCTGAGTTTAGTTTTATAGCTGTAGATCTGTAGACACTCTGAAGTCTATTGTGAGCAGCATTTGCCTTTGCAACAGTGCAGTCAGAATACAACAATTTCCAGTCAGTACTCTTGTGCAGTACAGTCTGGACACAACAGTGCTCTAGTATAGTGCAGTCTGGATACAACAGTACTCTGGTACAGTGCAGTCTGGATACAACAGTACTCTGGTACAGTACAGTCTGGATACAACAGTACTCTGGTACAGTACAGTCTGGATACAACAGTACTCTGGTACAGTACAGTCTGGATACAACAGTACTCTGGTACAGTACAGTCTGGATACAACAGTACTCTGGTACAGTACAGTCTGGATACAACAGTACTCTGGTACAGTACAGTCTGGATACAACAGTACTCTGGTACAGTACAGTCTGGATACAACAGTACTCTGGTACAGTGCAGTCTGGATACAACAGTACTCTGGTACAGTGCAGTCTGGATATAGCAGTAATCAGTTTCTGTTCTTGTACTTCTTCTTCTTCTTCTTCACGGTCACCAGCTGGCGGAAAGTTCTGGTTGTTCATCCACTTTTGACTGCAGTTCTGTTTCAGAACTTGTATGGTGCACGTGCATCCGTTTTACTGATCTGACACATTTGTATGCAGACTGCTGGTTCCTCGCCTCTCAGGCAGATGTACTCCGACTTTGAAGGAAGCTCCCAATTAGTCGACTCTTACGACATGCTTTCCGGCAGACAGTCGGTCTGTTCTTGTTTTCCCAGTAACAGGTCACCAGAACCTACACAAGGAGCTCTTGTACTGTAGTCTGAGTTCACTTCTCTCAGTGCTGTGCTACAGCAGCCATGGTCCAGCAGTGCTGAGTCATTGCTCTGCTACAATAAAGCCTGCTGCAGTGAAGTGTATCTTAAGTTGATTTTACTGCCTTATGCGGTAGCTAAGAGACTTCATTGTTTCACCCACATCTTGTTTCATATTTCAGTTTCTTATATCTTATCTTACAATTTTACTGTTTAATACACTTCTTGCTTCAAATTCAGTTTCACACACATCTTGCTTCAGATATCACATACATCTTATTTAAGATATCACTGTTTCACACACATGTGGCTTCAAGTTTCACCCACATCTTGCTTCAGATTTCACACACATCTGGCTTCAGATATCACTGTTTCATACAGATCTCATTCCAGAGTTCACTATTTCATACACATCTGGCTTGATTTCACTGCTTTTTACACATCTTGTTTCCAGTTTCACTGTTTTGTACACATCTGGTTTCAGGTTTCACTGTTTTGTACACATCTGGTTTCAGGTTTCACTGTTTTGTACACATCTGGTTTCAGGTTTCACTGTTTTGTACACATCTGGTTTCAGGTTTCACTGTTTTGTACACATCTGGTTTCAGGTTTCACTGTTTTGTACACATCTGGTTTCAGATTCTGCTGATTACCTCCAGCCAGGATGTGGAGAAGTGGATTGTTCCTGGAGGGGGCATTGACCCAGGAGAAGAACCCTGGGAGGCAGCAGAGAGAGAGGCCCTGGAAGAGGCTGGGGTCACAGGTGTTGTAGACAGACTGCTGGGTGTCTTTGAGGTGAGTGCTGTGCATATACTGAGATTTGAGTATCCACACACAGTGAGTTATTTCATTATTCTTACACTAAGACGCACCCTAGTATATACTAGTCTTCTTCTTCTTCTTGTTCGATCCGTTCCCTCAGAAAACTATGTCAGGAACTCAGTAGCCTTGATGAAAGTTATCGTGCAGTCCAAATCTCCCTGTGTGCCATACAGTTGTTATTTTATTTGAGGTTGGAACAGGATCTGTCGTCTTAGAAGCTCGTGGGCTTTCACGGCTCAGGTTGGAGGGAGAGTTGTGGAGAAAGATTCTGGAGCTTTTGCCGTAACATCAAGTGCAGTAACATGGCTAGAGACACAGACTTTCACTGGAGCATGCTTTCTCAGTGACTTGATGTGCTTGCTCAGGAAGATAGAGAAGGACTGGGTCCCAAGGCAGTGGTTGGTGGTTCTACAGAATTCACGGCTGACAAGGATTAGTTTCATTTTCGTGCCAGGATATGCGGGGGTGCAAGGAAATGAGCAAGCTGATAGGCTTACAGGTAAGGCTACTGTGAAAGCCTGGCAAGCCATGGACCAGGCTGATATACAGAATGTTCTACGAGATTCAAGACTTTGCGCGAACCAATTAAGATCTATTAATCTGCAACCATAGTCAGACATCAAGAACAGCAAGTTTAACAGGGTGTCGCCAAACAAGAACAGTACACAGGTAGCCAAAGAAGATTAATAAACCAACACAGAACTGGTGTTGTCGGCCACTACACGCTGCAGGATTTACTGAGGAGGGTAACCGAGCACTTATGGACTGAGTGCTTTGACGTGCAGTGGGGATAATCTGTCGACTAACTTACAGACCAGATGACCTCTCTGTTAGCATCAAACAGTCTGCAGTGTTCAAGGACACGCTCAGTATTTTCAGTTTCTAAGTTGGTGATGAAGCTAGTCTTGGAGAGTAAACTTGGTGTGGCTGATTTTGTTGGGCCAACATTAACACACCCGCAACTTACAGCAGTGATTTATTTAGTTTTACACTAGCAAACATAAACACACACCCAATATACAGTAGTGATTTCATTGATCTATCATGAACACACACCCAACATAGGGTAGTGATTTCATTGGTCTAACATTAACACTCACCCCATATACAGTGGGGATTTCATTGGTCTATCATTAACACTCACCCAACATACAGTGATTTCATTGGTCTGTCATTAACATACACCCACCATACAGTAATTTCATTGGTCTGTCATTAACATACACCCAACATACAGTAGTGATTTCATTGGTCTATCATTAACGCACAACCATTATACAGTAGTGATTTCATTGGTCTAACAATAACACTCACCCAATATACAGTAATTTCATTGGTCTGTCATTAACAACAAAACAGTAGTGATTTCATTGGTCCAACGCACAACCATTATACAGTGTGATTTCATTGGTCTAACAATAACACTCACCCAATATACAGTAATTTATCATTAACGCACCCAACATACAGTAGTGATTTCATTGGGCTATCATTAACGCACAACCATTATACAGAAGTGATTTCATTGGTCTAACAATAACACTCACCCAACATACAGTAATTTCATTGGTCTGTCATTAACATACACCCAACATACAGTAGTGATTTCATTGGTCTATCATTAACGCACAACCATTATACAGTAGTGATTTCATTGGTCTAACAATAACAAACACCATCAATAATTTAATTGGTCTAACTTTAGCACACACCCAATAAAGAGTAATGATTTCATTGGTCTGACATTATCACAGCCACAGCATACAATAATTTCAGTGGTCTATCATTAACACAACCACAGTATACAGTAGTGATTTCATTGGTGTGACATTAACACAACCACAGTATACATTCATTTATTGCTATAAAATACACACCATCAGTAATTTCATTGGTCTAATATTAACACAACCACGACATGCAGTAATTTCATTGGTCTAACATTAACAAACACAAAAATCAGTGATTTCATTGGTCTAACATTAACACAACCACAGCATACAGTCATTTCATTAGTCTAACAGTTACACACCTCTGATATACAGTAGTGATTTCATTGGTCTAATATTAACACAACACCCCTCCCATCATAGAGTGGGTGGTTTCATTGGTGCAGCCAGATCACCTTTACTGATGGGGTTTTATTCTACACTTTCAGAACCAAGAGAGGAACTCCAGAACGTGGGTCTATGCCTTCTATGTGACCAGCCTTGAGGATCACTGGAGCGAGTCTGTGAGCTTGGGTAAGCAGGGTGTCTGTGATAGTAGGGACACTGTGTGTGTCAGGTGTTGGGTATTTAGAGCAATGTTTCCTCACTGTAAATGTGAACAAAGAAAGACACAAAGAGGTTGTACAGTTTATTGCCTGGCATATTTTGCTGCATCACGTCAAGTGCATACTACAGATATTGAACTGTGAAGTTTGCATGTTAAACAACGGACCAAGATCATGGTAAACAGTAACCCAAAACTGCTCCGTTCTTCTTCTAACTCAAGTCTGAGTCCAAAGAAGCACACCACAGTGCACAGACTGTAGCAACGGCGAGGATCTGAAAAACTTCGGGCAGATTTTTTAACTCCAAATTTTGCCCAGGCAGCGTCGTTAGGCTACTCTTTTTGATTTCCAACTGCCAAGGGATTTTTTTAACGTGTGCAACAATGCACACGAGCGTCCAATCTCACTACCCAGAGACCAGGGGGGATTACTAGAAGTCCAAATCCACGTGAAAAAATCCCAGCCCTTACCGGGGATTAAATCTGAAGACACCATGCCTCAAGACTATGCAGCCCCTGTGAACTGTCTTCACAGTGGTAATACAGGCAGTTACTTTTGAGCAAGGAAAATTATGTATTTAAATCTTAAGGATGTATCTATTTGCTTTATTGTGTTCAGTTGTTACTGTAGTTGGCACCTGTGTGTCAGACAGTAGGTGTGTCTCCTGTTACTGTAGTTGGCACCTGTGTGTCAGACAGTAGGTGTGTCTCCTGTTACTGTAGTTGGCACCTGTGTGTCAGACAGTAGGTGTGTCTCCTGTTACTGTAGTTGGCACCTGTGTGTCAGACAGTAGGTGTGTCTCCTGTTACTGTAGTTGGCACCTGTGTGTCAGACAGTAGGTGTGTCTACTGTTACTGTAGTTGGCACCTGTGTGTCAGACAGTAGATGTCTCTCCTGTTACTGTAGTTGGCACCTGTGTGTCAGACATTAGGTGTCTCTCGTGTTACTGTAGTTGGCACCTGTGTGATAGACAATAGGTGTCTCTACTGTTACTGTAGTTGGCACCTGTGTGTCAGACAATAGGTGTCTCTCCTGTTACTGTAGTTGGCACCCGTGTGTCAGACAATAGGTGTCTCTCCTGTTACTGTAGTTGGCACCTGTGTGTCAGACAATAGGTGTGTCTCCTGTTACTGTAGTTGGCACCTGTGTGTCAGACAATAGATGTCTCTCCTGTTACTGTAGTTGGCACCTGTGTGTCAGACATTAGGTGTCTCTCGTGTTACTGTAGTTGGCACCTGTGTGTCAGACAATAGGTGTCTCTCCTGTTACTGTAGTTGGCACCTGTGTCAGACAATAGGTGTCTCTCCTGTTACTGTAGTTGGCACCTGTGTTTCAGACAATAGGTGTCTCTCCTGTTACTTTAGTTGGCACCTGTGTGTCAGACAGTAGGTGTCTCTCGTGTTACTGTAGTTGGCACCTGTGTGTCAGACAGTAGGTGTCTCTCCTGTTACTGTAGTTGGCACCTGTGTGTCAGACAGTAGGTGTGTCTCCTGTTACTGTAGTTGGCACCTGTGTGTCAGACAGTAGGTGTCTCTCCTGTTACTGTAGTTGGCACCTGTGTGTCAGACAATAGGTGTCTCTCCTGTTACTGTAGTTGGCACCTGTGTGTCAGACAATAGGTGTCTCTCCTGTTACTGTAGTTGGCACCTGTGTGTCAGACAGTAGGTGTCTCTCCTGTTACTGTAGTTGGCACCTGTGTGTCAGACAGTAGGTGTGTCTACTGTTACTGTAGTTGGCACCTGTGTGTCAGACAGTAGATGTCTCTCCTGTTACTGTAGTTGGCACCTGTGTGTCAGACAGTAGGTGTCTCTCCTGTTACTGTAGTTGGCACCTGTGTGTCAGACAGTAGGTGTGTCTACTGTTACTGTAGTTGGCACCTGTGTGTCAGACAGTAGATGTCTCTCCTGTTACTGTAGTTGGCACCTGTGTGTCAGACAGTAGATGTCTCTCCTGTTACTGTAGTTGGCACCTGTGTGTCAGACAGTAGGTGTCTCTCCTGTTACTGTAGTTGGCACCTGTGTGTCAGACAGTAGGTGTCTCTCCTGAGTACCAGGTTCTAGTATCCTTTAGGATGTTGCAGAACTAACCCCAGCATTGTTTCGCTGTTCGTGATTTTACTACGCAGTTTTACGCTCATCTGAATTATTGATTCTAGAACCGACATCACAACACTCTGGGCGTTCCTATAAGTGCTCTGTCCCCATCTTCAGCAGCCAGTGCATAGTTCCAGTACCCATGGTGCCAGTAGCATTCTGATTATACATCCGACTTGCCTTTCCTGAGAGCATCGAGTATCAGCCAGAACCCCTTGTCTCTCCCAGCTGCATCACTCTCACCAGACTGGGATTCATTTGCTCTCCCATAGGGTCCTAACCATGTCTACCTTATTATGCATCATTATTCCACAAAGTTGTGCAGTGCCAGCTAGTCTGTCAGCCTGTTCTTTTCCCAACACACCAGAGTACCCCGGAGAGAAAGATCCAGATAATTTCGTACTGCTTGCCATATTTGTCAAGCATCTGTCAGTATAACTACTTCAGATTCATAACTGCATTCACTGAGTAATATGGATGGTTAAAGCATAATAGTCAGTGCTTGGTTAGCTGACCCATTTGATTAGGCAGAGATCTAAGCTTCTTGAACTGTAATTGCTTATCATTTTGTACTGCTTGCAATACTCAGCGAGCATCTGTCAGTATAACCACATCTGACTCAGAACTGCACCTATTGAATAATATAGATAAGTTAGAGATTGGCAGTCAGTTCCTTGAAATATACATATTGCTTGTATATTTTACAGACAGAAGACGACGGTGGTTTCCTTTGGGAGATGCCAAACTTGCCCTTTCCAATCACAAGCCACCTTTGCTGAATTACATCCAGGTAATTGAAGGCATCCAGGTCACAGAGGGCATTAAGGTCACCTCATAGCCATAGTGTCTGCAACCAGCATGTGACCAGAGTTCCTCGACTGCGGGTGTATGTCATGTGTGTATGTTTTATATATAATCACTGACACATTCCAGGGACCTTGGGGTCTGATTGATTGCATGAATCCATGACTGGCTGCTGCACTCACTGGGCACTCACCTGGAGCTGTTTGTAAATTAAGACTTTTGCTTGGTAAGGGGGAGGGAGAGAAATAGAGGCAGCCTTTATTGCCTTCCCTCAGCACCAAGACGTCCATGGCAGGTGTGATGCCAGTTGTCTGGTGGCTAACTATGGCTGTGTGTCGCTTGCATTGATTTGTACAGAGACTTGTCTGCAGTAGTAGCTTCTCACTGGCATGGAAATAGGATATTATACATCTGTTTCACTTAATAAGAAATGACATGTACATATATTTCCATGACATGGGAACTTCAAGTTATCAGAACTTTCCTAGTACAGGAACTAAATCTTAGATTGTAACGCCACAGGAACTAAATGTTAGTCATGGATTTTTATAGCACAGAATCAGATGTCGTACATAGATTTCTACAGTATAACAGTACAATGTAGTATATAGATTTCTGTAGTATAGGAATAAGATGTTATACATAGATTTCTTTAGAACAGGTATCAGATGTTATGCCTGTGATACAGGAACTAGATGCTACATATAGATTTCTGTGGTATAGAAATAATTCAAGGATAACGGTGTACAAACATTTGTATGTCACAAAGACCTGATATTGTACATTTTTTTTCCTGATATTCTAATTAGAGCCTGAGGCAGAACACATGCCATCCTTATGTTTAACATCTCAAACATTCCAGAGTGTCTGAGTTGTGACCTAAACATCCCAGAGTGTCTGAGTTGGGACCTAAACATCCCAGAGTGTCTGAGTTGGGACCTAAACATCCCAGAGTGTCTGAGTTGTGACCTAAACATCCCAGAGTGTCTGAGTTATGACCTAAACATCCCAGAGTGTCAGTTGGGACCTAAACATCCCAGAGTGTCTGAGTTGGGACCTAAACATCCCAGAGTGTCTGAGTTGTGACCTAAACATCCCAGAGTGTCTGAGTTGTGACCTAAACATCCCAGACTGTCTGAGTTGTGACCTAAACATCCCAGAGTGTCTGAGTTGTGACCTAAACATCCCAGAGTGTCTGAGTTGTGACCTAAACATCCCAGAGTGTCTGAGTTATGACCTAAACATCCCAGAGTGTCAGTTGGGACCTAAACATCCCAGAGTGTCTGAGTTGGGACCTAAACATCCCAGAGTGTCTGAGTTGTGACCTAAACATCCCAGAGTGTCTGAGTTGTGACCTAAACATCCCAGACTGTCTGAGTTGTGACCTAAACATCCCAGAGTGTCTGAGTTGTGACCTAAACATCCCAGAGTGTCTGAGTTGTGACCTAAACATCCCAGAGTGTCTGTACAGTGGAACCTCGCTTTACTAGCATAATTCGTTCCATAACCATACTCGTTAAGCGAAACACTCGTTATTCGAAACAATTTTACTCATATAAATTAATGTAAAATACAATGTGTTCCATGTCGAAAAAAATGCTCACAAAATGCTATGTATAACGTTTATTCAAAGAAAATAATATATATATATATTGTTTAGGAGAATGAATCATCTTCATCTTTTCTTCAAACGTGGAACGAACCAACCTGGAATGCGAATTCGATTTGCAGAAAAAAGAAGTCAAAATAATTATGATACATAGCTAATTATTTTTTTTTTTACTTGAAGGATGTCCAGATTCATTTAGTTTTTGCAGACGCTTCAAAATTTGGCAAAAATGCGACACAGCATTATCATGAAATAAATTTGCAACGAGCATAACCACATCCTTATTAGGGTGATGTTTCTCAATGTAAGATGCAACAGTTTGCCATGCTTTCAGCATTTCTCTTATTTCGCCAGAAGATTGTTGCTTTTCTGTTGCCTCCTCCTCCTCTGACAAATTTTCCTCCAAAACTTCTTGCTGTGAAACACAATGCAGCTCCATAAGCTCTTGGGTGGTCAGCTCTTGGCTTTTCTCTTCCACAAGCTCTTCTTCTTCTTCTTCTTTCGTACGCCTGAAATAAGTTGTCTATATCAGCTGTTTTGTCTCTTGTATAAATTTCACTGTCGTTGTTAGTTCATTCAGTGATCCATAGAGTTTACGTTCCACTGTTGTTCTTTCTGGCCAAAAGGTTTGCTTTAATGTGTCAAAATCGGTGCAGTCCTGGAGTACATGCTCTGCTGTCTGGGGCACATTTCCACAGCTGCACATTTCTGATACACCTATCATGAATTTTGTGTACATGTGGTTACGTAATCGGTTGTGCCCTGTTCTGAGGGGGAGGATAATGACTTGTTCTGGTCTGTCCATAATAAAATAGTCGTCTTGTGCTGGTGCTGGGGCTGGTGGTTTCCTGATCGATTTAATGATTCTTTTCTTTTCACAAGCTCTTCGATATCACTGTTATCCACCTACAATCCCATGGTAGTAGCCAAAAACACAATATCGTTGACTACAGGTTCCACAGGTACTGTCTCGAACTCTCAAAGTCACAAATCAACAACGCTCTCAGGCCAAAGCTTCTTCCAAGCAGAAGTTAGGGTTCCCTTGGTAACCCCTGCCTTGTCGGTCATCTTGAGGCAGGCAACGATGTGAAAGTGATTTTTCCAAAACTCTTTGAGAGTGAGGTTGGTCCCTCTAGTCACCTGAAAACAATGCTTGAAAAGTGCTTTAGTGTGGAGCTTCTTAATGTTAGAAATAACTTGCTGGTCCATGGGATGGAGTAACAGAGTGGTGTTGGGAGGCAGAAACTGGATCGTGATGAACTTAAATTCCTCAAGGAGGTCATCTTGTAGGCGTGGAGGATTCATGTACATATATCACAATATAACACAAGTTTGAGAAATTGTGTGATCACAAGCGACACTACGATGCTACTGGAACGAGTGCTAAACACAGACTGGTCTAACATGCGCACAGTCTGGGACTTCTCCTCTCCTCGTCACTCGTTATGCGAAACGTCGCTCGTTAAGCAAGTCATTCTTTTACAATTTGTTTTGCTCGTTATGCAAATTACTCATTTTGAGAGGTGCTCGTTAAGCGAGGTTCTACTGTATTATGCCCTAAACATTCCAGGGTGTCTGAGTTATGCCATAAACATCCCAGAGTGTGTGTATTATGACCTAAACATCCCAGAGTATGTGTATTATGTGATAAACATCCCAGGGAGCCTATATGCAATGAATATTCCAGTATCTGCATTAGACCCTGCTTCTAATGTCTTCTTTCCTCTCAAAAAACTGTCTTTTCCTGGCTCCTTTGCCGTACACCAACTTTAAGCACTGTGCACTTCTATGTCTGATGTTAGGCCTTTCCAGAAAAGTGACTCCACTTTATATTGTGGCTGAGAGATCAAATTCTATATGTTCACATTGTGAAAGAGTCAGATTCTATGTGTGCACATTGTGAGAGGGTCAGATTCTGTATATGCACATTGTGAGAGGGTCACATTCTGTGTGTGCACATTGTGAGGTCAGATTATGTATGTGCACATTGTCAGAGGGCCAGATTCTGTATGTGCACATTGTCAGAGGGTCAGATTATGTATGTGCACATTGTGAGGTCAGATTATGTCTGCACATTGTCAGAGGGCCAGATTCTGTATGCGCACATTGTTAGAGGGTCAGATTATGTCTGTGCACACTTTCAGTATGAGAGGGTGAGATTCTGTGCGTACAGGTTGTCACTGTGGGAGAGTCAAATTCTGTATGTTGATATTGTCATTGTGAATATGATCCTGCCCGTACCTATTGTAATTGTGAGATGTTCGGGAGCTGTACAAACAGTTGCTACGAATAAGGAAACTTGTTCTAGAGACTTCTGGCATCTGCCTGCAAAGTTTCTGAACTCCCCACTCTCTTGATATTGTTGATGAGAAAGCATACATCCCACTCGCTGCGAGATAATAAACAATTTTGCTTTTTCAGCATTCCGAGCACTTGAGATTCATTGTTGCAGATATCACCTGCCTCCATTCGTCTCTCTGGTTGGACTTTTCTTTCCAATTGGTGGCACCAAGTGTTTGCAGGTCTGTCCGGACATGATCTCTTCATCGTCTTCTTGGTCTGTCTTGTGGTCTACGACCATTCAGCTCCCTTGTGTGTTCAGTTTTCGCCTCTCTGTCATCTGACATTCTCTCAATATGCCCCAACCATTTCAGTCTATTAGCTCTCATAATGCCAGTGATCAGTGGTGATTTAAACACAATTTCCTTATTGCTCCTCACTCTTCATTCCTCGCTGTTTGCATTTTTAATTGGTTATTACAGAATAATAATTTTTAATGTGTCATTTTAATTCCCATGTCTTGTCAAAGTGCATGCCGTGTGGTGTTGGTAGTCAGTTATGTCTATCCACAACCTTCTTTCTTGTGTACATTCAGTCAACTCTTGACACAGATGGTCTTCCATAGTCGAGGCCGTGTGTTGTTGGTAGTCATGTCTATCCACAACCTCCTGTCTCGTATACTTTCAGTCAGCTCTGACACAGATGGTCTTCCATAGTGGAGGCCGTGTGTTGTTGGTAGTCATGTCTTCCCACAACCTCCTGTCTGGTATACTTTCAGTCAGCTCTGACACAGATGATCCTTCATGCTGTGATGTCAAACTGTCTAAGGTCTTTTCTGTCAGTCCTCCTCTGCGTCTCTTCCCCTTCAGCTTACCTACTGTCACGACGTACTCCAGTTTAATTCTGGGTAGTGAGATCGGACGCCCGTGTGTATCGTTGCGCACATAAAAAATTCCTTGGCAGTTGAAAATCGAAAAGAGTAGCCTTACGGCACTGCCTGGGCAAAATTTTGTGTTAAAAATCTACCCTAAGTATTTCAGGATCATTGCCCGTGCTACAGAGCCTGTGCACTGTGCTGAGCTTCCTAGGACTCAGACTTGAGTTAGAAGAAGAACGTGGCACTTCTGAGTTACATCCATGTGCCA